AGTAACTTATGCACATGTTATATTCAATGCAACTATATTATCCAGATTAATCATCGTCGCAGTTGTGTGGATTAAATTAATGTAGTCACATGTATCTTGTCACATGTTTCGCATTAAATTTATTATTCTACTTTGTTATTATTCGTTACGTTATTAAGCTTCACATTTGAACTTTATAAATATTTATAAATATTTAACCTTTACAATGAACCCACAACAACAGTAACTACACAACACGTTCCTTCATCGGTAAATTACAAATATTAAATTATCTTATGTTTACAAAATTCGATTGTATACATCTTGAGGTGTAACCGAAGGATCCAAATTATCGAGTTTACGTATAACCAAAAGTCAGAAGATCCAAGTCACAAAAAACAGTGACTTGGATAATCGTGATTCTACTGTACTCGACTTTAAGTTCTAATGAAAAATTTATTCATTAAAGGGCTATTAACAGATTGTATGCTGTGGAGGTCACCGGTGACCCCTAACCAAATTGAATTACTATAATTCACTCAACTTTCCTATATTATAAATAACAGCTTTACGCGGTGGCAGTCTATAAGACAAGCATGCAATAATGACAACACAATTCAATTAAATAATATGACATTATATTTTTTCCATTTCATGTATTTGACTCCATGAAATCTTCCGCTATTCAATTCCCCCTTCTAATGTGATTTCCTTCACAATTGTACTTGATAAAATACCTTATCATTAATAATTTAGGTACTTACGTATGATAAAGACTACCTTTGTTTTTAAGAAATAAAATATTAATAATAATGATAATGATAATGATAATAATAATAATAAGATATTAATAATGTTATAATATTAAATATATACTAAGCCAGACCTAATACAAATATATACTCTAAATATAGATCGATAATAGACAAGTAACATTTAATTCACAATAAAAATAAATAAACAACATTCAGATTCCTCGAATTCACTTCAACTCTGCCGTACCTGCACTTCGTACATACATTTCTAAAGTAACTAGTGGAATTACTAATAACAAACAGAAGCTACCCAAGTTGGAAAGATCAATTGTTCTCAATGGAAATAGAAATAAAAGAAAAGACAAAAATTGTGAGGCTGACCCTTACAATCTCATGGAACGTATTGTTCGAATTTATATACAAAATTGGAAACAAGTTATTGTAATTGCTCGATAGTTTTAGTGTCAACTAAATACTGTGGACAATACAGTAAGTGATATGAAATTAAATGGACGAAAGAAAACACGGAATTTTGAATCAATCTTTAAAGCTGGTCATTCGACCGGTCGCGGTAAGTGTAACGTTAAAATCTTCATCGCAAGCCTGACACGATATTATATTAGAACTGGTTAGTAATTCAAGTCTGAGATTCCGACTGCGTTTTTCGCGACTCCGTTTTACGAGTGTTCTCAACTTTACGAGTAGTAATTTCCATCGGTAAAGTATCCCCGTCGGCACGCGTGAAAAAGAGTTCCGCGGCGAAACGTGTTCGCGTGGACAAAACGGGGACGAAAAGGGAGTGGACCAGAAGATGATGACGCGGCCGCCGGGAGGGAGAGGTGATAAACGGGCCAGCGAAAAAATCTGGAAGAAAAGACTGGCTCTCCCTGTCGTCCCCACCCGAGGGCAGGACGACGTTTCGTCCATTCACCGTTCCCGCTTGTGGGCCCAATGTCACCGATTATTCGTTTAACGGGACCTACGCGTCCAACGTGGTGGTGAACGATGGTTTCTCCGGGAGCCAATCATTGGTTAGGGGTTCCGCGCCGCGGTCAGTTGACGAGCACTCCGTCCCGAGCGAGGATTGGTTCTGCTTTTTCAACATCGATCCGTCGCGAACTTAACTTGTTAACTGTGAAATTTTGTTTCGAAAATCTCTTATTGTACGCGCAATAACATCAAACAATGAAGTGTATATTCGTCAAATGCAGGGCAAATACACGTATAATATATTCTCACGAAAAAACAAAGCAAAACGAAGAAGAATTACATGTTTATCTGAACAAATGAATAATTGATTGTTGAAAGAGTTAGTGTCATTCTAAGTTTTAAGATATCGTGCACACTCGTCGAACGCAATTAACTGGTTAATCAACGTTCTCCACATATCTTTATATTTCTCTTTTATTCTTCTTATTTTCTGTTCAATCGTGACATCATCGTGACAATCGAATCTGCGGAATGGCAAGTCCGACCGAGTAGGAAACGTGTCGTTCGATTTCGCGATCGGAACTATAGGATGTGAATTGGGATCGCTCGACCGACACGGTCATTATCGTTTTTACGGGAACCAAGGACACGATTGCGCGTCTCTTCGTGATCATTGTGAATACAATCGACGATTAGAATCTGTGGAGGATAAGATAGAGGAATAGGATCGACGGGATCGACGGTGTTCCGCGCCGATAGCTACAGCCTGAGAATAACAAGGATACTTGTTTGTTACATATTAAATGAGCTTAATAGGAGAATCGAGGAGAAGGTGGAGAGTATAAGAGAGATCGATGCAACGATGAGAGTGAAGCGCATTAACGACTAGTTTTGCGGTACGCGAGAAGCGACGAGAAATCTAATGGCTACATGACACAACTGAAGCACGTCTAATTGAACAGCGTTTACTTTTCTCATTTCCTCTGCACGTTACGTTCAGATAACGAGCACCGTATGTTATTATCGAGACGAAAAGCGGGTGACCGTCCTGTAACACGTTTCGTGAACGGTTTTCATCCAGTACGGGGAATCCTAGAGACAGCCGTGTCACTTTTCCGAATGAGGATATCGTTGTATAACGACGGAGATTAAAATTAGCGAACGCTTTTCTGAATTTCATTTCACTTTTACCGGTGCATATTATTTTGCTCTTATTATTGCTTGAAATTGTGTTACAAAGAGATTCGACTGAAATGTTTATTTCTATCAATTTACATATATTGTCGCCAATTTTTCGAAGTACCGAAAATCTTTGAAACAGTAAAACATTAAACAACTATACAACTTAAAACATTATACAACTTTAAACACAACTACGTACAACATCAAATTATGTATATTATTTTGGTACTTAACACGATCAACATTTTGATACTGTAAAAGAATTGCTCGTCACTCAGTCTTATAAAAGTGAACGCTTTCAATCATTCTTGACGATATGGAAAAGAAGTATCGATCAAATTCAAACTCACAACCGGTTTAATTTAATGAAGTTCTCGTAAACAAAGCTTCCGCTGTCGTAGAACACACGTTTCACGACATTTCGAGGCGGAAACGGTTCAAGGAACGAAATCGTTGAAAATTGCAGGAAATATCGATCTGGATCGGGACATTAACGAAAAGGACGATCGTCGTGAAGTGGTATCCGAGTAGGGGGCGGGGGAGAGTAGGGGCAGAACAAAAGCGTCCAAATACGTAAGAGAAGAACAGCAGTTTTAGGAAGAGGCGAGTCTCGTCGAGTGGTGCTGTGCGACTACACGTGACAAGGCCCGACGTATTTTACATATTTATTATTCACTGAAAGGTAGGATCTGCCGGCGACGAGTGTTTCGCGGTAATTCGACTAAGCGCTGTCGTTGCGTGTCGTCTCGCTGTAACGCAGGTTTCGTTGGTCGAGGCGACGCGATCGTCGCGAAGACGATCTATCGAAAATTTTTCTTCTTTTACGACGGGAGTGCATCCAACAAACGATCCAAAACGGGTTCCCTATTCTCGAACGTAAGTTGAACCGTACGAAATCTTTCTATTGAAATTTTTCATTATAATTAAATGAATTAAATGAATTTTAATTAACTATAAATATTAAATGAAATAAATATAATTAACTATAAATACTAAATGAAATGAATATAATTAACTGTAAATAGTAAATTAAATAAATATAATATAAAATAAATCCAATAGTGTCCAGTTAAAGGACTACGCACGCTTAGACAGGAGAAATGCGATTTTTCGAAGATACGATTGCTACCCAAGTGTAATGTTCTTAACACGTTCGCTGTGAACATCGCGTAAATTTGTTTTGAGTACATTTGTATCGAAAGTTACGGGTGATGTTAAGGAAAATAATTTCTTTTTTGTTTGGTTTTGTGTTTGAAATGTTTCATTGAGAAAAGTTACGTTTAATCACGTGTTGTCATTTGTGAGAATTGCTGTTGATGTGAGTGTTGGACGCGTTGAAAGTCTTTCTTTGATATTTGATATTTGATGATATGAAATCTTCAACTGAACGAAAGTTGTTTTTAACATTTTAGGCGGGGCAAGGTTCTACGAATTATTTTTGCGAAGTAGACGGAAAATACCGTGGCAACTGATAAATCGATTTCGATGATATTTTGTATGATTTTCGTTTCCAAAACCAAAACCGAAAATGCAAGTTTTTATGAAATGCAGATGTCATTTTTCAATTCGCGTGACTGCCGTTCTTCGAAAAGCTGGTATTTTCGTAATCTACTCAGGCAGTTGCTAGTTTCATAACTCCACTTTAGAAGAATATTTTATATTCTTGTTTCATGTAAAAACCACCGAAGATTTTTCTGATACCAGGAACACTATTATCAAAAACCTGTTTTCAGTGAAGTTTTTAGAAGTTATTGATGAGTTAAACAATTTCGTTAATATTAAGAGTAATGAAGTGCCAAATAATTCTTCTATATAATATAATTGCATATAATTTTAATATAATTACAGAATGACAATCAATAACTCAAATTTATTTGTGCGTTATGTTTGTTCTTGTATGTTTATTTGTGAAAACAGAAGATTCACAGAAGTGTATTTCTTTCTAAAGCAATTTTATTTCCTTAAATTTCCCACAATGTTATCTCACTGAGGATATTAAGCAATTAAATAATTAAGTATTATATCTATTTTCAAAGTACGTAAAAATCTTATGATTTTGATGAGAACTGAATGTACGAGAATAATGTAGCCATGTATGATGTTGAAATATCCCAAAACTTTTCTCACGTGCCTCTTTCATTCCACTTGTTGCAGGTGATCTTGAGTCTGTGGGAAAAGGATGACGTAGAAAAATTGGTCGAAGGCAAAGCTCATGGCGCGACACCATTAGTGATGGCCTGTCGAAACGGACATTACGACGTGGCTGAATACCTCATCGAAAAATGTGGGGCAAACATCGAGCAATCCGGGTCAGGTAATACTCATCAAGAATTACAGTCATGGTTGTGAACAGCGAAATTCAGGATTTCCTTAGGTGTACATGAACTCGGAACAGAATCTCTTGTCGTCATTCTTATTAGCAGACAAATGGCACTACTTCAGTTTAAAATCAGTCTTAAGTTCGTAGTTTCAAGATTAGAACTAGTAAACGAGTTAAAACGACCCATTCCTGATTTCATTTTTTGCAATTACTAAAAAGATACGAATTCTTTAGTATGTAACCTATTATTGAGTAAACTAATATTCAAAGAAATATATTTATCACCACCATAATGCCTTATCAGTAGAAAAAATATATATGAAATATAGATAAAATGTAAATATAAATAGGAATTATATATACAATATTCAAAGCATTTTATAGTTTTCATTAGGAAAGATAATAATCTATGGTAACCTTGTTTTTCTATTTATATCTTTAGAAATTTGAACTTGTGTAAAGATCCGCAGTCTACTTATTAGCTTTTTATGACTGGCACCGTCATAAACAAATTAGTCTTCAATGTGTTTTCCTTCGTCAACCAATCATCGAAAGGATCATCATTTGGAAACAGTTTTACTAAATCAGTTGTTGAAAAAACTTGTCGGACATCCACAGACGCATTTCATACGAAAAATCACAAGCTTATTTGCCAACTGCTTCAAACGATCGATAACGAATATTCACTTGAACAAATAATTTTTTAGTGATTTATAAAATAAGTATCATTTTAGGAGATGTTAAATATATTATAAATAATCTGACAAATTTATTCAGTATTGTTGTATTACGATTTCTCATGATCCGTTTATTGTTGACAGTGGTCTTCGATGGCGAAACCATAGAAGGCGTGCGACCCTTGTGGTGTGCGGTAGTCGCTGGCCATTTTGCTCTGGTTAAATTGCTGGTGCAGAAGGGTGCAGACGTGAACTCAACCACTCACACAAAATCCACACCTCTACGCGCGGCTTGTTTCGATGGTTATTTCGATATCGTCAAACTTCTGGTAAATTATGGTGCAGGTACGTACATTTTGTCCCTAACAGACCCACGGACAAATTATTTTTGTTAGACCATTATTTATTTACCTTTAGCTTAGTCGAAATGGATAACACGCCGTGTGTGTGATGATCATGAATTTCTATTGTCAGATAGTAGTGGAAAATAAACTTACTTTACTAGTTAATAGTGAAAGTAAAAGATATGCAAAAATTCAAACTTGTCAAGCTAAGACCCCAAGAAGAATAACCCACGATCACGATTGTCGTAATTACAAAAAACGAACAATAATGGTGAAAGAGATGATTTCGTATTTTGGCTCCTAGGGATCGTCTTTAAAAAGAAACCTGGTCTTGAATGAGTTAAAGTATCGTATACAAATCGATTGACTTTATAAACATTATTTGATAAATGTTTGGGTCGATTTTGATTGATGCAGTTACGTAAATATGTATCCTAATTCTTCTATTAAGAACGATAGAACGAACTGTACAATAAATGTCCGTAAATTTAATGTTAAACGTGATGACACCGCTGTACTTTACGTTTCTTGTACTCGAAACATCGAAGGAAACAATTAACTGTAGCGAGCATAAAAATCGAGAAGCCTTCTGAATGTCATTCTCAATTGGAGTAGCGATCATGATAAACTAATATCTTCCGCTCCATATACGTGTGTTGCCCCTCTTGCACGTGTAATAAGTGTTTGAACCGATGGCAGTCTATTTTTATCGTTCTGTAAAATACAGAAAACCAATCAACTTGTGCGTATGTATTCCCTGGTTGCAGACATCGAGATGGCGAATCGTCATGGCCACACGAATCTAATGATCGCCAGCTACAGAGGCCACGCTCATATCGTCAAGTACTTGCTCAGCCTCGAAGCAGACGTTAATCGGAAATCCCTGAAGGGTAACACGGCACTTCACGATTGCGCCGAGGGTGGATCCCTGGACATCATAAAAATGTTGATCAAGCACGGCGCACGGATGGACGCGGACCACTGCGGGATGACGCCACTGCACGCTGCAGCAGTAACAGGTTACGGCAAAACCAAATCATTTATCAACCCTCAACTAGTTGTACAAATGAGTCCTGAGCCTTGCATTTTGAAAGCTGCAACCCTGACTCAAACCCAAAAGCACGAGTTCTTAGGACTCGAGCCTTGAACTGTGAAAGCTGTAGCCCCTTCTTTTACATTTCTTTCACAACTGTGCTCGCTAGGATAACTTTGTCACAAACAATTCACTAAAAAACAAAGTTAAATTTCCTGTTCATCTATATCCACCTTTACTTCAGAACGTAACGGTTAGTAATAGAAAGACAGCGTTTCATTTAAACCCAAAATAATTGAGTGACATTTAATTCATGTAACTTTTGTTTGAGAACTTTCTCATGAATCTGACTCGATATTATATGGCAAGGGGTAATATAGCAACGAATAGCTCGATTCTTCGAGCACGAAAACTTGAAAGTTGAAGACTCTTAAGGCTGACAAGTGTCCAAAGCTTCGAAGAATTGAGTTTTATAGAACTCTAGGCCTTCAAAACTCAGCCTCTAAAATTTGAATTTTCAACCATTTTAAACAACAATTAAATAAACAAAAATTCAAAAAATTTTCATCATTGAGATTGAAAATCTAAAAATCCGTTGTTCACGTGCATTTAACGAATTTATTTTTTATGAATCTATATCATATCACATATCATGTGGATAGCGTGTAAAGAATCAATTAAAGCTTAAATATTCAAATTATGATAGAGAATGTTAAAATATATATTTTAAAACACTTGTCAACACTTCGACGCTTCTTCGATTCAAATTTTGTTGTAACTAATTCCATTATAGAAATCAGTTAAATCTGTTTAATAAGTCATGTGTAATAGTTGTTACTTGGCTATAACGATACAGTATTAGTAATAAACCTGCTGGGATCATAAAAAGATGTTTTAATGTAGTAGCTGTAGACAGGTCTTGAGCAAAGTACTTTTCTAGTGGATAGATGAGTAATTGCTATATTAAAAATCTTATAATACACTTTCATACTTACCTACTCCTTTATTATTGAATTTGTTTTCGTTTATAAAGTTTTGAAGCAGGTAAAACAAATAATTTACAGAAACTATATCCCATGCATAAAAAAATAAAAGAAAAATGAAATAAAATGGATCATCCCGTTTAAAACATTTTTTGTTGAATGTTCTTGTTGTTTATGGCCTAAAGTTATTGACTTTAAATTTCTATCTAAAATAAAAAATCCAATAACACATTATAGAGAAGAAAGGAAGAGTGATAAAATATTGTATAGTTTTAAATATTTATTAACATATAACTATTTATAATTTAACAGATAACTGACAAATTATACAAAAATTTTATTTAAAGAAATAACTCAACAGATTTATGATACAATTCAGTAGTTCTTAAAATGATTTTGAATCTGTAGGCCGTAGCTAAGCTGATCGGTTTCTTGTCTATGATCCCAGTGGATTTTGTATTTTATCTTTTTGCCGTATTGTTAGATCCTGACTTACGAAGGGAATAAATAATTTTTTCCCGAATTTTCTAAGTTTGCTGCGTTTTGCCCATCAAATATAATAATTTTTCGAGAGTTTTCATTACTTTGGGTAAAGGAAATTTGTCCCCGTTGAGAGTACACGATTTTCATAGGATGATTGCTTTAACAGGACACAAACACATCGTCGAATACTTCATTAATATGCCACATTTGGTTAGTCGCAAAGAACGTATAGACGCATTGGAACTTTTGGGTGCTACGTACGTGGATAAAAAGAGAGACATGAGGGGCGCTTATGAGCTTTGGAAGCGAGCGATGGATGAAAGGTTTGTCTCATTTTTATATATTAAGTCATTGTGTGGAGTATACCTGTCTTGACCTTTTTGTAATATACAAGAATCTTTACAGAAGAGCAATATAAATGTAATAATATAAGTGTTAAGATTGATAAATTTTCAAGTTTAATTCTACAAACTGGGCTTAGTAAATTTTTCATATCTTCAACCCTACTATAGTTCTCCTATATTGTTTAATTTAATTTGCCATCAGAAGCTGAATTATATTTAAATATCACCTTTTCACCCAATGAATATGTTGGCACGCTCTTCGTCACTTTATGTTGGTTATTTGATTATTGGCTAAAAAGCATTGGCACATTTTACATTTCAGATACCATCCAGGCCTTCCACCAATACCGAAACCACCGCCACAACCTCCTATAGCTGCCTACAACTACGTAAGAGAGGTTTCTGATCCCGAAGAGTTAAACGAATTAAACGATCTAGACGAAATGCGAATGCAGGCGCTTGTAATTCGTGAACGAATATTGGGTCCGGCTCACCCTGACACTCATTATTACATTCGCTACAGAGGAGCGGTTTACGCTGATGGCGGACAGTATAGCCGTTGCATTGAACTCTGGAACTATGCCTTGGACATGCAACAAAGTATATTGGAACCATTGGATCCTTTGACTCAGAGTTCACTTACCAGCTTCATTCAGCTTTTCAGTTTCATGATAAGCCGACAGACAAGTACAGAACATAAGGTGCCACCGGTTCAAAGAGAAGACATTCTTAGGGTGTTTAAGAAAGCTGTAAGTTTCAGTTGTGTAAAAAGTATAATATATTTTATGGTGACTATGTTTTAAATTAGTCAATTTGGAGCAAATTAAGCATAGGGAATATTCAGTTCTCGGTTTTAGAGCAGTTTTTCAAATGGGTTAAAAAAAGATTAATTCAGAAGATAGGGATAACTTCTGTTTCTCGTAGTTCTTTATTTGAAGCTTGACTGAAAAAAGATATATTTAAAAAATTTTCTTTATGTACTTGTTTTTGTTATTTTATTGTATTGTAATCTGTTAATATATTCTGTCTAGTAACCAGGAATATACATAAAGTAACTCATTGTTACAGGTTATGGAAGTAGAATTAGGAAAAAAATTATTATACAAAGTTTACCTGGGTGATCTGAAGCATTTTACTAAAGTTTTTACCATCGCTATAGATCTTGCATGTTTATTAACTCGTGAACTACCGGAAGAAGGTTCTGACGAATATATCGCTGTGCACAAAGCGATTTATGAATTAGTTCGAATAAATGCCAAAGGCAAACGTGTAAGTATAATTCTTAAGTTACAATTAACAATGCATTAACAATTATTTAAATAATTTTATTTCCCAACATGTTCAAACGTATAAAGCTGTACTATATTTCAGAAACGTATGACGAATATTAAATTTATGTAGAGTTCTGATACTAGTTGTACTTTTTCTTCAGATTCTCCATATGTTGTACTTGATTAATAGTGAAGAAACCGCTGTAGCCGGCAAGTACTCGACTTCCAAGTTTCTGTCCCCAAATTTGGCAACGGCTCTTATAAAAGTTGGCGCTGATGTTAATTCAACAGACTTCGACGGGAACACACCATTACATCTTGCTGCTCTATCACAGATGTGGCAGCGGGACGTTGTTATCGCTCTACTCGAGGCTGGGGCTCATATAGATGCTGTTAACAACGACGATGAATCCTTCGAAACGTTGTTACGCAACAAACACTTATATCACTCTGTGAATCCGGTAAAATACACCACGCTCGCTTGTTTGGCGGCCAGAGTAGTTAAGAAAACGTATAGTGTAGACCAAATTCCGAAGCATCTCCAATCGTTCGTTGAAATGCATTAATGATGTTCATTAAGTACGCAGCACTGAAAATGTCACGCTGTTGTTTGTGATACAACAAAAGAATTGAATTTGTTTACTAAAGATGAAAGAGTTGACGATAACATTTTGCATCCTGTCAAATAGTAAACCTATGCTAGAATATGTTTCTGAATGGGAAAGTGTCAAACCTACCTTAAGAGACCTAATATTCATGTGATAATACGGTTAAAAACGGTTCACTTAATATAGAACATGCTCCTAGAGACATCTCTTTGAATACGGATTTCAATTAGTAAAAATCATCGTCGCACCGAGTCTGTTTTTCAATAATGCGAATATCGCTTCATGTTCGCAGAAACTTACAGTGAATGTACTAATGATATAATAAATGTGAGATACTTGTTGAGTAACGTTTTTAAAGTGTAGAATTTATTATAAAAAATGTCCTCGTAAATTGGTGCGCAATAGTGGTAAATATTGAAATCTTGGAAATAGAGAGTCTGAGAGAGTATTTTACTGGCATCGATTGTAATGGCTTAGAAATATTGATCAATGTGATTTTATTATTGTATACTTGGCTAACAGTCATTCCCTTATACATAAACCCCATACGAGCCATAATATACACATCACGTTGATACTATTTAGTTATTAATATAAATGTATGTTAAATCGAAGGAAATTATGTACTTGTAAAAAAAACAATCAGTTTTATTTTCAACGCTATCTGAAAAAATAAAACAGGTATAAGATCGTATAAAATACACCTGTTTTTCGTATAAAACGAATTAGTTCTTCGTGCGAAAATAAAGCATGCAACTCTTGTGTTGCGAACTGTGAAATATGAATTATAATTAAATAATATTTTTTGTAAACTCCACGAAGTTTTCAATTGTTAGGTGAGCGTACGCGTATACTGTTTCTGTCAGAAACGGTTGGAAAGTCGTTTAAGTTATTTTTTTTTAACTGTTTATTATTTTAAGAGTTTCAGAGTTATATGTACATATTATGATTCATATGTGCAGTTTGTTTGTGAACGATTCAGTGGCATCGATCCTTAACTTTAATTTTATTAAAAATGTGATAAACATACATATAGCTTATGAATATTAAACAGAATTCTATACATTTACATAAGAATCATGATAGGCGAGTTGTTTATAAGTAAGCTGTTTTTTAAAATAGTCACACATTTGTACTACAGGATAAATAACACTATTATGGAAAAATCGCAATTGAAATGAGAAGAGTACAGGATTTCAGTGATAATTTTTTGTTCAGTTTAATAATTTTATACTCTTTAGAAATATTTGCGTCGTCATAATCACATACACAAGTATTTCTCTACAAAAAAAAATATTTTATGTTCAAGCCACCTAGTGTAACTGTTTTATAATGTAAAGACTGTGAAAATACAGGTGTAATTAATAGTATATCAACATGTTTATTTATTCTTATATATTTACTAATACAGTACTGTTTGCTACTCTATAAAAGTTAATAATTTATTCTTTTTAAAAAAATTATAATTTTACCCAAAGTCCTTCTGAAAGTTAGATTCCTATATCAGTATTTATTTATTGGATATCCAATAGTGTACAAATAGTAATAGTACATCTATATAAATTCTAGAAATTTTGCACGTAATTATACTTCACTTTTAAATGTGTTGTGTAAAATTTATATTGTAGATATATTATATCTTGAATAGCGTTAGAAAATAGTTGAAAATAATCCACATTTAAATTTAATACAAACATAATTAAAAACATCATTAGCATCATTTATAATAATTTAATAAATTACCATTGCATATTTAAAATCTACACTATGATCATAGACTGAAAACACTGACTAGAGACAGGATAAACTGGACATACAATGTAAATTTTTGGCATATAGCCGAGGGGTTGCATGACCCACTTACCAATCTCGCGTCATTTAGAACCTTACCAACAGAGTATAAATAAATAAAAAACGTGTTCTTTTTTATTTTCTTCCCGCTATATTAAATTTTTCAGACTACCGAACCTGAAGTCCCATAAGATATCCAGTCTATTCTGTTCCTCGTCAGCGCAATTAATAACATTATTTTATCACAAGATGGTAACTGTATCACTTTCCCATTTATTTTATTAATGCAAAAAATGATAATTGAATGCAAAAATATTTTAACATACAATGTTAAATTTATATATTTAATATATATTTAATTTACAGTTTATAATGAATATCTACTTTTTTAAGTAAAAATATTCTATCGCCATCTAACGGTGTGATATTAAATTTATTATAGTTGTGTCTATATCAAAAAGTTAGATATAAATTACAAACGTTACATTTAACGATGGTTGATATAAAATGTTGAATTATGAGGGATTCACAGACAATGTGAAATCGTAGGATAAATTTTTAATTATAATTTACGCGTTTTGTTATATTTTTTTAAGTGTTTCATACATCGTAGAACATCATAATATAAGAAAGAGCTCTGAACTACTAATTCTCGAGCTGTTAGTGTATGGTGGACCAACTATTTCAACTAATGATAACTGTATTTATGAGAATTGAAATGTAATTTATAGTTATTATATTTTACATATATTTATACGAAGGACCATACTTCATGGTTACAAAATGCGTAATAGCAAATGCTTAAAATATTAAAGTATGTTGAAAAAATGATTTACGTATTTTGAATTATATTTTTTTTTCACGAAAAGAACCTATTTTTGGGTATAGTAGTTTCCGGTACGGTTTATCACTTCCGAGAACGGCCATTTTATAAGACGCTTCGTGATCGCGTATGTTTGGATGCAGAGTGTCTTTTACTCTTTTTAACTGCGAACTTTAGTATAAGATCATCGTGTGATTTAAGTTGTTTGCATAGTGAAAGAAGCCTCGAAGATGATAAAACCAGAGGAGTAAGTATATAATTTCTATTTTAAAAAAACTAATCGAACATTCCTTTGTCGGCGTGCAAAATCACGTACGATTAACGTAAACCGACGCTAATACATTCGAATGTATCAGTAATGTAATTTAAAGAAAGAAATATGTTTAGTTCAGTGATATTGAAGAGAATTGCTAGAATTTACACAGATTATGCAAAAAAAAACAACGCGTATAGTTAACGCAATTGAAGATAATGGTTACTAAACATCTTGTATACGTTATTGCTATGTACCTTTATTAATATTAGGAATCAAGTGCAAAATAATGATGAACGGGATCGAAGTAGGGAACGAGATCGTAATCGCAGATCAGACAGACAAAATCGCATAAATTCAACGAGTCGTGATCGAAGCAGAGAACGAAATGATCGAGGCGGTCGAAAAGTCTCAGACCGCCGAATTTATGTATCGAACATTCCCTATGATTTTCGTTGGCAAGATCTTAAGGATCTCTTCCGTACTGAGGTTGGAAAAGTTGCGCATGTAGAACTTTTTACCGATGAAAATGATAAACCAAGAGGCTGTGGCATTGTTGAGTTTGAAGATTTAGATTCTGTGAAAGTAGCTGTGGAGAAGATGCATAGATATGATATTAAAGGGAGAAAGCTTGTGGTGAAGGAGGTAGTTAGTATATTATTATTTTTTCAGTCAACTTACAATTGGAAATATATAACAGAACTAGTATTAGATATATTTTCTAACATTTATTCATTTTAGGACTTTGACATTGAACGTGATAAATATGGCCGTTTAGCAACTGCTCGTAATAATGATAGAGTTCGTGATGATAGATTTAGAGATCCACCACGACCACAAGGAGGTGGTCGACAAAATATGAATGTTCCTGCCGGTGGTGGTGCTGGTGGTGGTGGTGGTGGAGGCGGCGGCGGTGGGGGCGGTGGTGGTGGAAGTGGTGATAATAAATTTGGAAATACCTATGGTTTAAGTACACAATTTTTAGAATCTTTAGGTATTAATGGACCTTTAGTCACTAGAGTATTTGTGGCAAATGTAAGTTTATTTTTATATAAGAATTATAAGAATTAGATTTTATTATATAACAATGATAAAATTATCTAAATAATACATATTATACATTTAGCTTGATTATAAAGTGGATGAGAAGAAGTTATTGGAAGTATTTAAGTTAGCTGGTAAAGTACTGCATGTTGAGTTAGGTAAAGATAAAGATGGAAAATCCAGGGGTTTTGGAGTTGTAGAATATGACCACCCAGTAGAATCAGTGCAAGCTATATCTATGCTTCACAATCAACAACTGTTTGATAGACGTATGACTGTCAGACTCGATAAAGCAAACGAACCACCAAAGTTACCAGAAGGTATACATTAATTTTCTTGCAATTCGTATTAACATTAAATCTTAAGGGAAAAAATAAAAATAAGTATGAATTATAAAATAGGTTTAAAGGGAATTGGAATGGGGCTTGGAGCTGGTGGTAATAGATTAATGGATGTAGCTAGAAACATTCCCAATGTTCAGGCAAATAATCCCCCTGTTGTAAATCCTATTTCTGCTCCTGTGCTGGCGGCTGGTGCCTTCGGTGCTGGCTTAAACAATGTTGTACCTGCACAGTTAGGTAAATCTTACATTTCCTATAAATTTAAGGAACAAATCAAATTAGCGAACATCAGGAAATTAATGAAGAATTCATTTATACTAGCGTCTGCATTAACAAACACAAATGCTGCAGCTCTTCAAGCAAGTCTGGCTGGAGGTTTAAGTGCAAACCTGACCACCAGTTCTCTGCTGAATTCCTCTTTGACAAATGAATTGGCATCTAATTTAAATAACTTCGGCGGAGGAGTCGGAGGTTTGTCTAATTTACAAGCCTCTTTAACTGGCGGACAAGGCAACAATTCGTTTGCACCGCGAGGCTTATCTAAAATGGACAATGATGTAGGATTTGGTGGAAACAATGCTTTTGGTGGTTCTAACTTCGGAGGCGGCAGAGATTTTGACGGTGGATTCAATAGAGGAGACAATGACCGCGGTCCTGGTGGCGGTGGTGGTTTTACTGGCAATCAGGGTCAGGGAGGTGGTGGCAACAGACAAAACGCTAATGGTTCACGACCAATGTCTGATACTATTCTTATAGGAAATGTATGTACAAGTTTTTTTATTTTATATTTTGTTTCTCTTATGATATTTGGGCATAACTTTAGTCATAAATCAGATAATGCAATTCATGTTTACTTTGTTATTACATTTTAATATCTACTTTATTATTCTAAATATGTGCCCATATATTCTTGACATGCTTTGCATAAAGTCAATTGTGAAACTATAATGTTCATATGAACTGATACAATTAACTATAGCTACCGCCAAACACTACATGGCAAATGTTACGAGACAAATTTCAAGATGTCGGGGAAGTCAAATTCGCTGAAATGCGGGGAACCGATATGGGAATGGTACGATTTGCATCAGAATGGGACGCTGAGCGTGCTGTGTGTATCCTTTTACAAATATATTTGTATGAGAAACAAATCATTTCTGATTACATAGCATACATCTGTAAGTATGCTTCAAATGCTATATCGAATAACATTCAAATATTGGAATTGAGAATTAGAATATTTACATATTTCAAATAATTCAAAAAATGTAATAAAGTTTTCAACGCATCTAATCTCTTTTAGGGCCGAGTAAATTTGTTGCATTTAGTTTTCAATTTGTGTATAGTTTGCTTTTGTACTTTGTATTATCAATTTGCCACAGATAGACAGTTAATTATTTTAATTTTCATAACATCCTGTATATGTTGTATACTGTCTAAGAAAAATGATTTTTATATAATTTATTATTGCAGTCTACTGTAAGCATAGTGAATAGTTGAATGTTTAGAAGATTTTCCTTAATAATATGTATATAGCTATGATGAATCGGTCACGTATCGACGGCAGAACGATTGATGTTCGCCTGTACTAAAAGTTGGGGAACACATTTAAGGTAACAGTAATAGCAAACCTCTGCTGAGGTTCATGCTTAACCATAACTTATTGATGCAGCGAGAGGAGACTGGGTGTTCGTATGTCGTCTGCAGGATTGTTCCGCTCCTGATGACAATACTTGAAATTCATCCTAGTTGTGTGGCAGAACTTAGGACAGTGGGTGAGAAGTATCTGTCGTTGGAAGATCAACAATCGTGTTTTAATGCCTACTTCAACGTCGAAAAAAAATACTTATTGGCTGCCGGTGATCACCCTTCCTTGCTACAACTATTTCGGTTAAAAATTTCTTTATTAGAATTATCGTTCCTTTTAACAGTGGAAGTCCTGCTAAGTGTTCACTCCCGAAATTGAATACTTTTCGTGTGATCGATACATAGTTTAATTGTTAGGATTAGGTTCATAATGTTCAACGTAATCTGTAGGTTTTTTCAGTACATAGGTTTACACTATTTACAGTAATTATCAAACGTAGTTTGTAAGTTTACTTTCATAGTTTTTGTGACGAGAGATCAATCGGTTTTCCCACATTCCGGTCAGAGAACGTGTGACGCTTTTGGTCGTGTTCGCGGACTGGTCAATCGATCCAGGTTAGACAGATTAATCTTTCAAGCATAAATACTAATGCGATATAGCTGTTACGGGCTTTACGAGTTTAAAGTTTATCCATGTATGATAGATACTTTCATGCACAATCCTAAGCAGATCGTGGACGTGTGTTGGTTTTTCTGTGGTATCGGTCGCACTCTATTCTTGTATCTAAGACATAACAAGATACATGATGGCTCAACAGGGGATTGTGAATTGTTTCCATTTGTAGTTCTGCGGTCTGATCTTTTATTCGTCGCGCCACATCGTTCTTAGTAACTTGGAGATTCAAGTAGAGCATAAAAATTTTAGTTGTCATTAGGAAAGGCCCCTTCTTATAGTTCTCTCGTTTTGAGATTTCGGCGAACAAAGATTGGATGACCTTGTACACTCTTAAATTTGGCAGAATTGTCTTACGTATTGTGCATTAGAGTATGTTTACCAAAAAATAGGCGAATGTGTTCTTCAAGGAGAAAAAAGGAAATTTTTAATAACCTTTCAATATTGAAAGAGAATGCACATAATGATAGGCTCTTGAGTTAATTTTGTAAATTTCCATTTTTTGGTAAACATATTTCCTCTCGCCATGTAGATTTCGAGGAACATTCTGCGAATTGTATAACACTCTTGTATAACCACGACATCATGACAGTG